GATAACAGGATGTGGGCAGTTTAGCAGTCCTGCCCAGCTTATCTTGGTCCAGGTGCGCTTGTAAAACTTTTGGCTGACATAACATTTTTCTTGTAGGATGGGGGATGACCTTTAAACTCTTCAAAATGGGGTAACTTAAGTCAATTGTGAAGATTCCCTGGGCCCTAACAGATTGACTTCGCGAACTCCCTACAGCAACCAATTACCAACTGCAAGTATTTCCTTAACCCCAGCAGCTGTGCCTATCGGTCAAACCAGACCCATTTCTGTGGAGTTCATGACAGTGCATAATGAGACCCTGTGCCTAGCAGAGAAGAACTGTGCTCCATAGGATTTTCACTGGCTAATTATTTTAGGAGATTGCCAGATTTTTCCAAATTATGTAGTTCTTTTTGTGAGAAGCTGCTCCTTCAGTGGGAAAAAACACCTCTCAGACTGGCTCATTGGACTTGCAATCCATCTACTTTCAACCACAGTCTTTCTTATGCAAACTGACTCTTATACTTTCTCCAAATTGGCCACAAGGTGATTTAATGGTCCAAAGTATTGGGAAGTAATTTAGGTACCTTAATGTAGCCTAAATTTATGTGAAGGCACTGCATGGAGTCAGGGTTCCAAGGCCACAGTGTTCCAGAAACTAAGTGCTTCTAGATTTTAGGCTCTAATGCAGATCCATGTACCCACCTTCTGACTCAGCATTTACTAATTCATAGCCAATTCATTTAGTAATTGCTAAATGAATTAGCATTTACTAATTCATAGCCAATTAGTAAATTAGCATTTACAAATTCATTATCCAATAATGCAGGTCCATGTTAACCACCTTCTGACTCAGCATATACTAATTCATAGCCAATTTACTAATTCATAGCCAATTCACAGCCAGCATTTACCAATTCATAGCCAATTCATAGCCAATTCATAGCCAGCATTTACTAATTCATAGCCAATTTCATCAAACACTTCTTACCCTTGTATGTGAGCACACATTGAGAACTGTCACGTCCCACAGGGATCATTCACTACTGGCATTGTCGGTGACCACACTGCCTATAAATGCCACACTCGATTGCTGGAGTTCACATGTAAGGACTTCAGTTTGTGGTAAGATTTAACTCTTTTCAAAATGTAAATAGTTTTATTGAGACAGAATTCCCATATCATTCATTTCCATGGTTTAATCTTATTAAAGAGTTGCATAATCATTACTGTAATCCATTCTAGAACATTTTCTTCCTTGTTGTATTCATTATTAGTTCCCCATTTCCCTTCAGCCTCCCCTGCTGCACCCCCAAAAGCATTACTCTATTGACTTACCATTCCTGATTTTCATATACTGGAAAACATAAATAAAAAAACAAAAAGTCGACAGGAAAAGACCAACAACTATATCAAAAGAAACAGGAAGAAAAAAACCTCAAAAGAAAAAAAAACTGAATTGACAAAAAAGCAGGAAATAATAAAAACTAGAACAATTATAAATTGGGTCAAAAGAGAAGTCAAATGATTAGGTGTTACTTTTTAACCGAATTAGATCTACCATTATCCAGTTTAAAATACTCTAGGTCTGATACCAAAGCTATGCACATTGCTCTATTGTTTTTGGAGGGAATTCACCAGAGGATTGTAAGGGACCCTGTCCCCTGGGTTCCCATTGTCATCCATAATTTCTGCATATTGAGTATTCATAGTTTAATCTCTGATACCATTCCCTCCTTCAGGTGAGGATTGTATTATTTGAATCCTTGCATCACACAAGCAAATACGTTTCTTTCATGTGGACTTAGTTGACCTCACTTAGATGGCTGCTTGTTTAAAGACAAACCTAAGACCCCAGGTGCTGTTATTTTTGGTAGCAGGCACCATTTGGTGTCTTCACAACACTTTGCTGTAGCTTCCATATCTTCAGTCATCTCTTCATGAGGTGAGCATCAGCCACAAGAACTGATTGTTCTTATACTGGAGCTAGAATGAAGTGCAAGACCCACATCCATTCACATATCTATGGTTCATTTAGAAGCCTCATTGTCATTTTATGACAGAAAATTATCAATCATCCCCTGGGCATAAAGTAATCTGTTGATAGTGTATTTAATTTATACAATGCTATAGAATTTAACACACTGTTTAGAAAAGTAAGGTATACATGTATACAGTGAACTTCCATGAATTTTTATTTTGCATGGATTAAACTTTTTTATGATGGAGTGCTATTTACATTGACCTTGGCAGTTGGTGATAGGGCAAAATTTCCAACAGAAACATGCCTTTCAGATTAGTCCATGACATGGTAAAAGAAGGAGGCCATTAAAATGGTAAATATATGCGAGCTTGGAGTCACAGCCATCCATTTCTTTTCACACCAGGGCCTGTCAATCTTAAGTCCAAGGACATCCCCTTACAGAAGGGTTATGGGGAGGAGACGAGCCAGTCAGGGTGCAATGCAGCAATGATGAAACATACAACTTTCCGCTAGTTCTTAAATGCTTCCTCCCCCACTGCCCACTATCATGATCCCAATTCTACCTTACAAATCTGGCTAGACCAGAGGATGTACACTGGTACAGATAAGAGCTGGAAACACAGGGAATCCAGCACAGATGAACCTCTCAGGAGTGCTGAGAGTGGTGATACCGGGAGGGTGGAGGGAAGGTGGGGTAGAAACAGGGAACCGATTACAAGGATCAACATGTAACTCCCTCCCTGGGGGATGGACAACAGAAAAGTGGGTGAAGGGAGACATTGGACTGTGTAAGACATGACAAAATAACAATAATTTATAAATTATCAAGGGTTCATGAGGGAGGGTGTGGTGAGGAGGGAGGGAGAAAATGAGCTGATACCAAGGGCTCAAGTAGAAAGCAAATGTTTTGAGAATGATGATGGCAACAAATGCACAAATGTGCTTGACATAATGGATGTATGTATGGATTGTGATAAGAGTTGTATGAGCCCCCAATAAAATGATTTAAAAAAACCCTTAAGTCCAAGGGTTATAATAAGTTTGAGGTAAAGGCCATTTCCTTTGGTGGGGTTTTTCCACATTGAGGCCTGCTATGGCTGGTGAAGGATGTGCCCTTGAAAGGACAGTCTCAGAGGACAGCAGTTAAGAGCTCATGGCCTGGGTCACCACAGGCTGCATAGAAACTAGGTCAAAAGTATCCTAATTATTAAAGTAACACTGGGCTTATTCACCCCTTGAGTTCTATATAAGTATTGTTAAGCACTTATTCCAATAAGTTGCTTCTCCCTCTTTACTCACCAAGGGAAGGGGTAATGCTTCACCCTCCCCCCAATTTGAGTTCTGATGGTGAAAAACAAGAGGGAAAAAAAGAATATAAAAGGAAATATAGGAACAAGAAAAGGAAAGCCAAAAGGAAGAAGAGAAAGAACTGGAGAGAACGGGGTTGGCAGGGACAGAGTGGGACAGAATATACAAAAAGGAGAACAATATGCATGGCTAAACCCTTGACCTGAGTCACTGCCCTTTGCTGACCTAGAAGATGTGAGAGATAGATAATTGCTTGCTCAGAGGGAAGTTCTAGTGTGATCAAAGAACAGCTATGCACATCCCACCTGATCCTGGAAGGAGTTCTATTATGCACGGTTTGCTTTCAGGGGACAGGCTGCTCATCTAGTGCTGTGGTTCTTCTGGTGTCAGCAAGCAGAGAATGCCACACGAGAGTGACGTCCATCTAGCACCCAGTGCAGCATGGGCCCCCCCTCTAGCTTCACATGGAGTAGGGGTGTGGCAGAGGGTGTGTTGTCACTCAGCCACTGAGAGGTGAGAATTTGAGCTGCCTTCCTTTTGCTCCTCAGCCTCTAATGTGGGTCTTTGCTGGTCCAGGGGACAGAATTGATAATCCTCAGGTGGCAGTCTCTATCAGACACTGCTTGTGAAAATTACCAGTGGGTGCACTGTGTCAGACCCGCTGACAATTCAGCTGCTCTGTCTGTATCCACACCACTTCAGTCTGAGCTGTTTGGGTGAGGAGGGTCCAGTTAAGTTTTGCAGGAAAGGGGGAGTGTCAGGGAACAGACTTGAGGGCTTCTAGACCAGAAATAATGAATCAGGGTAGAAAATCCAGAGACCCAAGTAGACTGACACTTCTGCTTGTTGACTGAGGATAATGGGAGAGGCCAGGATCCCAGTGAAGAGGCCTGGGTTTAGGGCAGTGGTTCTCAATCTTCCTAAGGCCGTGACCTGTTAATATAGTTCCTCATGTTGTGGTGACCCTCCCAACCATAAAATTATTTTTGTTGCTACTTCATAACTGTAGTTTTGTTACTGTTATGAATCAAGTGACCCCTGTGAAAGGGTCGTTCAACTTCCAAAGGGGTCGTGACCCACAGGTTGAGAATCGTCGATTTAGAGCCTACAATTAAAAGATCCAATAGCATAAGAATGCTTCTCCATCCCACAGGTCCTGGGTACATGAAAACAAGGAAGTGTCTACCTACGTGAGGCATGACTTTGTCACCCCACAGGCAGCAGAGATGCACCTGGAGATGAAATAACGTCCAGCTGGCCCTGAGCAGAATTTCCAGGCCGCCTCTGCACTGGCTCGGGGGCCATTGCGTGTTCTGGTCCTTCTGGAAGACCTTGGCTTGAAGGGACAGGGAAGAAATGGACACCAAGAAGAAGCTCACAAAAGGTGAGAGTTGTCGAGGGTCTGGGGAGGTGAGGAGGGGGCCTCGGCTCCAGGTTCAGAACCCTGTAGAGGCCACCGCTGAGTACAGTAGCTCCAATTTTCCCTCCAATAATCGGAACTATTGACTGAACATTCTGGGTATTCTTTCTCACAGCTTCTCTTTCTTTCTTTAGGTTTGTCTTCTAATGAGACTGACTGGTGCCAAGAGAAAAAGCAGAAAGTACAAATACTGGTGAGTTTGAATCAACTCATGTTTTTGAATTGCTGTTTCATTTCTACAAAATAGGCCTATCTACTCTGTGTTACCATAAGAGAAAGCTACCACCATTTACATAGTTCACGCTTGTGTGCTGTATTAGTTGTGGGTTTTTAAAATTTTATTATTTTATTGGGAGCTTTTACAGATACCATAACATTCCATAGTTCAATCACATCAAGCAGTATTGTAGAATTGCTGCCTCAATCATTTTAAACACATTTTCTTTTTTCTTGAACTCCTTGATATCAGCTCCCCTTTATCCCCTTTCTCCCCCACCCTAACCCCCAGGAACTATTATTATTATTTGCCACCATATCTTACACAATCCAACGTATCCATTCATATTCTATTCTATTGTTCCATCCCATCCAGTGAAGTTATTCAGTCATCATGCTCTCACTCCCTATTCCTCCCTCCACCCCCTTTTCCGGTAACTTCAGGGAATCATTACTCCTCTCACTGTTTCTGAGGGTCATCTATCTTGACTACCAAGTATTGAGCCAAGGCAGTTACGTAATCTCAACTTGAGGAGGGGTGGCATCTAGCCTGTCAATCATGTGATAGCTTGATGACCTCATTTGGAGGCACAACAGAGAAAAATAGCTCACTGCAGGCTAGACACACTCTTGCTGCTGCTTCTTCCTGCTGATGAGCCACATGGAGCTACGCTGATGGAGCCAGAGCCCTGGAGATGGAGGAGCCACATGGAGACCCACGCCAGTGCTGAGATACTTCCACCACCAACTGCATCCTCAGACTTTCCACATACTGACCTGTGATCTTCCTGCATTCCACGTTATTGCATGTGTCACATGAGTCTAAAGAAGAATTGATGGACAAGTTTAAGACATATGGACTAATATTGGACTTAAGGACTTGATCTGGACTGGGCCGGAATGTTTTCTCAATATACAATTGCTCTTTTATATAAAGCGCTTTCTTATAAACATATGAGTGTCTATGAATTTGTTTCTCTAGTCAACCCTGACTAACACATAAGTAGTCTTAAATATACAAATGAACACAGGCAAATCAGTTTAAAAACATTTTCTTTCTTCTTGAATTCCTTGATATCATCTCCCCTTTATCCCCTCCCACCCTACTCTATCCACCAGATGAGTGGATTTTTCTTTTATATATATATATATATATATATATTTTGCTATATCTTACATAATCCAATATATCCATTCACATACCATTCTGTTGTTTGATGCCATCAAGAGGAGTTATACAATCATCAATGCTATCAGCTCCCTATTGTCCACCCTCCCCCCACAAAAAAACCCTCCCCTTTTCCAGTACCCTCAGGGAACCATTACTCCTGCCACTCTCCTATGTGGTCATTGATCTTGATTACCATGTAGTGACCAATCTTAAGTATATAAATGAATATATGGAAATTAACATGCTTAATGAGGTAAAACAAGTGAAAACTATAATAGGGAAGGAAATGTTAAAAAACAAGACAATAGTTATGTGGTTCATCAGTGCTATACCACATCCTGGATTTACTATCCCTTCTGTGAGGCCCTTCTGAGAGGGACTGTTTTATTATTGTACAGGTGGGTATTGGGTCTCCACTATATCTATGCCCTTTCACATAAATTTGGTTGCTTGTTTTTGAACTTCTGATACCTCTTCCCTTCCACACCTTGTGATCACACAGGTTGTTGCGCTTCTTCCATGTAGGCTTTGTTGCTTCCCTGCTAGATGACTGCTTGTTTAACTACAAGCCTTTAAGACCCCAATGCTATATCCTTTATTTATTTATTTATTTTAGATCATTTTATTAGGGGCTCATACAACTCATCACAATCCATACACACATCAATTGTGTAAAGCGCATTTGTATATTCATTGCCCTCAACATTCTCAAAACATTTTCTCTCCACTTAAACCCCCGGCA